AGCCCTCTGTTTTTTTGGGGGGGGGGGCTCTTCATGCAAATGTCTTTTTCCTTCTGTGGCTGTGGGTGTTTCTCTGCTGAGCAGAGAAGGGCTGGGCTTCCAGGAGGGTGTTCCATGGACCCGTCCACAAAGCCTGAAGCTGAGGGTCTCCCAGGTAGCCCTAAGTAGAGGCAGGGCTGGGGATATTGACCTAAGGCTGTCATCAAACCAGACCTCTGTGGGTAGAGGCTCAAACACAAGGTAGGAGCCCAGCTCTGCAGTGCAGACAACTCCCAGGAGAGGAGGTGGTCAGCCCTGAAGTGGGGCCAGGCAGATCCCACAGGGACCATGGCACAGACTTGCTCTGTGAGAATCCCATCATGCCAAGGTGCTGCTCTATCAGGACTTCAGCCAGCTGGACAGGGCTAGGAATTAGTCCTGGATATTTGGACCAAAGAAAGGCCCAGTGACCCCCACAGAAACCCTGGATCAATAAGTGGAGGACAGATGTATCCTTATGTCTGTCCTTGCACTCAAGTTATTTCTCTGCATCTCAAATAACAGACCCTAATCCCAGGGCAGTCTGGTCCTGCAGCCCTGAGTGCACTCCCCACACTCCCTCGGCAGATCCCACCTGGAGGGCTGGGAGGAGAGGACAGCATGGGGGCTCAGCTCCAGGTGACATGGGACCACTCTGCTATGTCCCCAGTCCTCCTGGGTCTGCAGGGAGAGTGAGACCAAGATGGGGAAGAAGTTTGTGTCTCACTTCCCCATGTGCCTGTGTCACTGTGCAGGGTTATCACTGTCATACCATGACTGACAGTAATAGTCGGCCTCGTCCTCAGCCTGGACCCCAGTGATGGTCAGGGTGGCCGTTCCACCTGAACTGGAGCCAGAGAATCGATCAGGGACCCCTGAGACCCGGTCGCTGTCACCATAGATGAGCAGTGCAGGACGCTGGCCTGGCTTCTGCTGGTGCCAGTGAACATAACTGCTTTCTAAGTCTTCTCCCTGACAGATGATGCTGACTGTTTCTCCCAGGGTCACAGACAGGGCAGGGGGCTGAGTCAGTGCAGAGGAGGTCACAGATCCTGCAAGAGAGGACAGGAGAGGTGAGCCTGAGGCTGAGGGTCTCACTCCTAGACCCACACCATGCAGCCCCTCTGTGATGAGCTGAAGGTTAGGCCAGGCTCGTCCCTGGTTGTGTGGGGCTGAGTCCTGGGGCAGCACCTGTGCAGAGAGTGAGGA